CGGGGGGGAGTTCCGTGGCCCCCCGGATTCCGGGGCATGCCTGCGGGAGGTCAGCCAGTCCCGCAGCTTCAGCGTACCCGCCGCCGAATTGCCGCCGAATCCGCGGGACTGGCGGACCTCCCGCAGGCATGCCACCGAAGGCAGCCTGCCTGCCACCCTCACAGGGACCGGCAGGGCACCCCCCGCGGCATACCGCCCCAGGCATACGCTTGGAGCGCTGGTGCCTGGAGCCGCTGCTGCCTCTGGGGCACCTGGCATTGGCCACTGTTGGCAGACAGGATACTGGGCTGGATGGACCTTTGGTCTGACCCAGTATGGCCGTTCTTATGTTCTAATGCACCTCTTCCCCTCCACTTCCAGTCCTGGATCTCTCTTGAGTGGAGACAGCAAACCCTATTGGTGTTTCTTCCCTTTTTGATTTACAAGCAGGCCCCTAATAGGATCTTTAGTTTATCTTTCAGATGATTGCTGGTAATTATAATATAAAGATAAAATCACAGTCTTAAATACTTTATCTTTAACTCAGATGCTTAGAACACATGACAGGTTAGCAGATATATATATTGTTTAAAACAAAATATTGCTTATTATTAGTACATATAGTTAGGAAATGTTTTGAGTTTTCCATGGGGAAAAATGACTAACATTTTCTACCAACACTTTTTGGGTTTTCATTGGAAAAACTCCAAACCAGAAATATTTTAAATTGACAAAGTGTGATATCATGGCTGCAAAATGCAACCTATTTAGATAGTGTCCCAGGGGTTTTGATCCAAAGCCCATTGAAATTAATGGGAGGCTTTCCATTTACACGAGTACAGGGTGGTGTGTAACTTGCTCTACCTCAGGAGCAAACCTGGAAAGTTTCAGGGAGTCACGATTCCTCCCCCGTCTCTCTATTGCTCCAGGGAGAAAGTAGTGCACGGATTCTCAAAGGTATTTAGACACCAAACTCCCACAGATTTCAATGGGAGTTGGGCGCCTAAATACCATTGAGGATCTGAGCCTAAGTTATTGCAGCTCTTGAAAAGGTGAAGCTGGCCCCTTGCATCTTGCAAGTGGAGGATAGTGGGGTGGAGCCAAAATGCTGCCCACTTACGCACTGGGAAAACATTCTAGAGTGCGAGGGTGAACTCTACAGCAGGGGCCCTATCTAACTCCCATTCAAGTCTGTGTAAAGATTCCCATTTACTTGAATGAGAGCTGAATCAGGCCCCAGATCTGGGCCCAAGAGCTGAGTAGGCTAAGCAAGGGGAGAGAAAGGAGCCTTTTCCCCCTCTCAGCCAAGTCAAAAAAAGGGCCAGTCTACCACAAAGCCACTCAATGCATGTGGTCCAATTGTGGGTCTGTAGTAGCTACCACTGTATTTGCTTGCAGACATCATACAGAACAGAATGCATTGTTATGGTCATTAGTTCTTGTTCAGGAATGTACATACAATAACACTTATATAGATTATAAAAACACTTGAGTAAGATACTAGTTTAGACCAGAAAATACACAAAATGGGTTCTTAGATTACAATCTTTAACCAGAGTAAAGCACCAATAGCTAAAATACAGGAGTCATCATTGTAGTCTATTCATTTGGCTATTAAAACATACAGTAAGCCTGCCAAAATACATTTTTGGTGCAGTAAGCCAAAATATATTCAGTAATATAGTGAAGCATTCTTAAATGTATACTTTTATAAATCTGCTAGGAGGAAATATGTTCTTCCATGGTTATGCCTAATAGGTTTTTACTGTATTTATGATTATTTCAGAAAATAGCCTGAATCCCAACAGTTCTTTGTGGGATATGGATTATGAAGGACTATTTCACAGTAAGAAAATTCTCCCAGGGACTCCTGGCTCATATAAACTCTCCAGCCTTCTTAGAAGTAATGCTCTTGTAAGTCATGAGGAAAGAAGAAGGTTGGTAACAAATCAGAACCTGACTCAGAAATCAAAGGAAGAGCAGTTATCCTGTGACATGCTCCTTAAGCTTTACAGATATGTTTTTATGGATGCCTTTGGACCTAAACTTGCTTGGAGTATATTTCGCTTTCATAACTGTGATAAGGAAGTCAATCCACCCAAAATTCAGATCAACCCTCTCAAGCTGCTGCAATCTAAACTGAAGCCACTGTTGTTATACCGTGTGCTCAAGGTCCTCAGGGACATGGGAGTATTGGATGAAGCCCAGCAATCCAAAGCCTTCTCATTGCTGAAGACGCAAATGCTTAAAACAAGGAGAATGTTGTTTAAGTCTGAAGTGAAACAAAGTGGTACGTATCTAAGGAGAATGCATGTTTCCTGTGTTCTTAACATTTTCTGCTTGTCTCTATGTTTACCAGCCTCATGTGATAAATGATGTTTAATTGTTTCACCTATGAGCTTGAGGATACATGTTAGAATGGTGGATTCTAAGCACTGGTGTTTCCAGCTTTTGCCATTGATTAGTACTTGGTTGCCCATCTTCCTCCCCTCTTTCCATTTCCTCCCACACCATAAGGCCCGATCCTGCAATGCTTACTCAGTGGCTTCAGTGGGATTAATGGCATGGGTTATAGGATCAGCCCCTTAATGAAAGGCTTGACATTCTGCCTCTGTTCTGACACTGCTGCCTGCTTCTCATTCCCTTGTCTGACCTGTAACCCACAGTGGCGCATGGGCTGCTGTAAACCAGCCTCCTGCAATCTGGCCTGCTGTGCGGATAGTTTGCTACAAGCAGACAGGAATATGCAGAATCCAATAGGAGAGGGTTATAGGCATCTCACTGCGGCCCTGTAAAAGCCTCAACCCAGTGTTCATTATTAAATGTCCAAACCAGCAAAGTGCATTGCGAAGCATCTCCTGTGACATGCTGAGCACCTGAATGTCCATATTGACTTTAGTGGGAGATGAAGGTGTTCAAAATCTAGTAGGAAGGGATCCTATTAAGGTAGGTAGAAGAAAGGAGAATTTGCTGGCTGCAGAGTAAGGGATGCTAGAAAGATTCTGGATGCAGAATGTAGAGGTCACTGACTGACAGGTTAACTGGTACAGTTGCCTGGAAAGGTTGAGTACCATTCTGTTATAAGACCACCTCTGAAAGTCAAGAGCCATTAAAGGGAATGTTATGGCTGTGCAATATCCAGCATAATGCCCCTGCCCCTGCAATTCTGACAGGGGTCTTGGAGTGCTACTTTAATACAAATCATGATCAATAATTTGTTGTGTGTTATACAAAGCATTTCTGGACGAGGTGGCTGTACTAAAGTTTTTAAGCCATTAGAACAAATTGAAATACTTTGATGTATTCTGATTTTCTCAAGACTAAACTGAATGTATTTGCCTACAGAGAGATGCAAATAATATAACTTTTGTTAAGAAAACGAATATCAGCACAGAATACTCAGTAGCATTTGCAGATGGGAAGAGGCAAGTTTTATATTTAGTTATTGAAAATATGTTGTGTTTTCATGGTGGTGTATAAGTTGGAGCCTCATGTTATCCATTTTCAGGATAAAGTGTCACATTATATATGAATTCTTATGAAACACATTCCTGCTTTGACCCATTCCAGCCTAAACCGGCAGTCATAGCAAGTATAGTGGTTTAAGTGATCCTTGCAAGCAGTTAATTCAGTACAAATCCTGGAATAAGACTTACTCAGTATTGTTCATGAAAAGGGCCCTTGAGAAATCATCTGAAAGATATTAGGACCTGAGTATGCTAATCATGTGCAAGGGTGACCCCTGTTGGTAGAATTTAAAACCAGATGTGGACAAATCTCAATTACCACCCCTATCTGGTAAACCAGTCTATTGGCTTTTTTGTAGCTTCTGATTTTATATCTATGTAATTAAGAAATATTAAAAAAGAATATCAAAACAACACAGATCAAAACACTAATCCCCCCTCTCTCTCTGTATATATATACATGTATGTGTGTATATGTATATATGTAATGTGTGTGCATAGATACATACACATATGTTGCCCAAGCTATTTATATAATTTGTGCTAATGTGTATGTGTAGTGTGTGCATTTGAAAACTGTCCTGAGCATCATGTTTTTATCTAAAGTAGACAGACTGGGTTGTGTTGTAGAAACAGCGACTGCTTTAGGTAGGGTACTTTTGTTCAAACTATTCCGTGGGAACTACTTAGTGAAAACTGACCCTGCTTTTCCTTCCACCCTCTGAGCAGTATTAAGGAAACGGGATATCATTCAAAGAGGGAGTTTACCAGGGAGGAAAGTGCTTACACGGGAAGTACCATCCCTACGTTCCTGTGTGAATTTTGTGTCTACTGCCAGAAGAAAGTCAGGGGCATTGTGGGAACAAACTATTAGTCAAAATGTCTCTGTCATGAATCAGCTATTTTTTGTCATTCCCTTTAAATGAGACCTCACTAGATCCCAGTCAATCCAATTAAAATTTTCATGCAAAATATTACATTTATTGCAACATGTTGGGGCTTGAATTGTTAAAAGTTTCCTAATACCAGGTAGTCCATTAGGAAAGAGTGGCATGACCCATTTTGTTTTTATCAGGATGGATTACTACTGATTAGCCTAAAAAAAAAGAGTAAGAGTAACAGCAAAATGAGGTCCTTTTGCTAGGAAAGGCTGATGAGACAGGATGTTCTGTCTTCCTGTGTGAAGGTGTGAGAATGTTTGCATGGTTGGAAATGTTCTTGTGTTGAGAAAACATCTTGCGTAGTTGAAGAGTATTGTGTAAACTTTAATCGGGAGTTTATTTGAAAAAGAAAAATAATCCTGAAAATGAGGTTTGTCAAGGGTAAAATCAGCCCCATTTTACCTCTTCAGTGTCAGCTCTCGGATAGTAATATTTCCTAAATATTCCTGAAGTGGATTCTCAGAAAATCATAGAGATGTTTCTAGTCTAATTTGTTCCACAGTTTTTTCCACATGCTAGTTAGGAACTTTTCAATACTGGGAGAAAATTGCCTCTAAATTGCTCACCTCAAGGCAACCTTTTCCTCAGGAAAAGAATCAAACCATGATAGCTGTGCTGCTACTAACACCACAGAGAGAGAGAGAGAGAGAGATTTTGGAAATTACTTAAATAATGTAAGAATCTGGAGATCTCCGCAAGCATATGAATAAAGAATTAAAGGCTGAACCTGCAGTTCTTCCTCTGGCAAAGGTCCCACTGAAATCAGAGAGAATTTGGCCTAAGTAATGACTGTTGCATAGGATCCTAAGGCAAGTGTAGGCTGGGGGGCCTCATTTAGTGATAGCCCAAGCTTTTAATACATTTAGTTCCAGTACTGATGTATTAGCATAATACATACAGCTTGAATATAATTTCTCAACCTGTTATTTTTATTTTTGTCAAGTCTATTAATCTTTATTTTCCTCTAGAATGAACATTTTAGTTGAAGGTAAGACAGTCAGGGGATGCAACGGACACTTGGATAAATGCATATGGAAGATAAGTTCTAGTTCTCTTGTACCTGAAATTCTGCACATTTACAACAGGTGAATTCAGACTCCAGAGATCTCCAAACAATTTAATTGGCCCTGTCCCCTATGTCAGAAGAAATCTTGCCCCAGAATAATTTAATAGCCCCTGACCCCTCCCTCAGAAGAAATCTTGCCCCAGAATAAAGTTCAGAGGCAACAGATTGAAACAGTGAGACCAGATGATGGCACATGAATGTATCTCCCTTCCCTTATTGTTCGCGATCAGCAGCACTTATGGCTTTGCACAGTGGGCTCCTCTTTAGCCTTGGCTCTTTTGTGGTATCTGTGGCTGGTAGAGTTGTCTCCTCACTACCAGCTGTCCCTCTCCTCTGGATGGAGGTTTTCTAAATGGTTAGTGAAGCATTTGATGAGGGAATGAATCAGCTCAGTGGCCACAAATCTGTGCTTTAATATATTTACACGTTGCCTGGCAGAATCTCTGGTCTTTCATGCTGCATTTAACAGCATAAGAAATACTGATAACTTTGATTCAGAAAAAAAATGGAATCTGAAATGGACTTTCTACTCCAGTTTAAAGACTACTGCAATCAATGGGAGCAGGAGCAGATCATTTAAGAGCAAGGGACCTGATCCAAAGCCCATTGGATCAGGCCCAAGACTTGTTGGAATATCCCCTGAAGGTATTTTCTACAGCATTATGTGACTGTTGTGGGACAGATGACCTCTCCATGGGTGTCTCAGCCTCAGACCAGTGGTATCCTACCTCCTGCGATTTTCATGCATTCTTGTTCTTAGTCCTCCCCGTCAGAGTTCTTTAAACAAAAAGTCATTCCCAGCTGCCCTAAGGCTACACATCCCAGAGAAAAGGGTGAGGCTGATTTAATTAGACTGATTTTGCAAGATTAACTGACAAATGAAGAGCTCTCTGTAAGCTCCAAAACTTTTCTCTTGCCAACAGAAATTGGTCCAATAAAAGAGATAACCTCACCACTTTGTCTCTCTAAATTATCCTTAGCCATCCAAATCTGGTCCTAGGCAGGTGTCCATTTCCACCTAATTTGCCTACAACCTTTGTTTAGGGTAGCAAGGGGAACACACCTCACTCCTTAAGCATTTAGCCTGGGGCACTGGGGTTTCCCAGCCGGTGTGCCTGGCAACAGCTTTCCTTTTACTGCTCACCTCCTCTACCAATTTCCCTGCAGAAAAGTTTAGCTCCCTGCCGGTGCGGATAGGGGGCCCCAGGTAGCTCATGCCCCCCTTAAAGTGAAGACTCTACTTTGCAAGCGACAGAGGAAGTCCAAGCCAGCCGTTCCCTCTGTTCATCTCCAGGCCTGTCTGAACCTCACTGGAAGGTAGCAGAGAGGCTGCAGCTGCAACTCGTAAGGGACAGTCTGATGTTAGGAGGGAATGTGCACCGCTCCCCTACTCCCCGTTTAAGGGATTTCCTTCCCGCCGCCTGACAGGTCCGGCCACGTGCGCGCAGAATGCTCGGCGCGCGCCCCCTCCAGGCCCCGGCAGGCCAGGCGGGGATGCTCGCCGGCGGGAGCTCGGCTCGGCTCCTTGCATCTGGGGAGCCGCACGGCGGGTCCAGGAGGAGACGGCGTCACCGGGGTGGGCGGAGCCAGCGGCTCAGCTGCTGTAAACAGCGGGGGCAGCGCCAGAGGCCGGGAGATGGGCTATAAATAGGGAAGCTGGGGGAGCCCGGCTGGAGTGGAGAAGCACCCGGGCACTCAGGAGCAGCTGTCACCTTAGCGCCCGCCAGCTGTCCCTGTCCCGGCGAGGCAGCGCTCCGGCTGCAGAGCCCCGCGTCTCCGAGGGGGGGACTGCCCGCTCCTTAGAGCAGCGAAGGGAGCCCTGCCTGGCAGCTGTGGCTTAGTAGCACCCGGGGCTAGGTAAGAGGCTCGGAGCACGTTGTTCCTTTGGCGGCTCTGCCCCGCGGCGGCCCGGCTGGA